TTATCGTGCCAACTGCCTTTAACTCAACCTCGACAAACTTAGATGGATTCAGTGGTGCAGTCATCAGCGGAGAGGGCGTGACTGAGTAATGTCTAGATAACAATGTGATCCTTCCATTTATAATGCAGAAAGTTCTCAAAAAATAGACAAAGGGCTCAAAAATAAGCATCAAGTTAAGAATTAAGTATTTCAGCGTACAGACACGAGCGATCGAAGCCTCTGAGAATGCAGCTCAACAAAGCGATGGAAAATTCAAAATCTGTGAGTTACTTTGCCTATAGTACTTTTGGCATTATGGATTCGAATGAAAATCTGATTGCTCTGCGTCAGCGTGAGATATTTCCACCAACCAGTGGCAGATAGTGGCAGCATCATGTGGCGCCGCTTACCAGGCACTCGGTTACTGTGTCATGTCCTACGTCGGCTTTTGCTCGTACCCACCGATTCTGATGTATCGGCGGGTATCTTGAGGCCACAGCACTAAAACTAGACCCGCTTGAAAACCTAAAAACACTTATTGCTAGTTGCGTATAGAGTTGTTCCCGTGATTCTTTGTTAAATGCACGGTCCGCGATAAAAAGCCTAGGTGATTTTGCAGAAATGTGGAAGAAAATTCGCCAAGTGAACCATCTATGAAGAGAAAATGCCAAAGGGAACGTTGGAAACGCATTCGTCAGGCCTCCTCTAGCCTCAAACAACTGTAGAGGTAAAAGACCGCGCGCTGGGACATTCCCGTCGGCTGATTCCCAGTAATGAACCCTATGACTCTACAAGAGACATTGAATGCATCCACTCCATGATACTTGCCCGGGAGCATTACTTTTGGCTGGAAGGCCGACTTTGGAGGCGGAGTCTGGAGGCGGAGTCACTGGAAAAGGGATGTACCACTGAAGCAACTTTGCGCCTTAATCCCTTTACCGTACAACTTTCCGCCGCGAAACTGGCACAGGGTTGTCCACTCCGGACCGCACTACCTTCCCACATAACCTCTTGCATTTTCATAGGTCATCGCGGAACGCTCCTTTAAGCCGAATCAAATTCAAATGTTTTTACGATTCTAGATGGTATATGGAAGTAGAATAAGTGGCGAGTCCCAAAAGGATTCACCAGTCCCTATAGCTTCATCCTTTTACCCTTTATGCCGGTACCAAATGGCAATCGCCAACCAATTACTAAAGAAGGGGAACTAACGTTAAAAGATCCACCCTTTGACCACGAGCTATGAACATCCTTCAGGCTATCGACTACCATATCTGCATCCTCTCCTAGCCTTGATATTCCTTTGATGCGAAAGTAATGCGGGTTTTTACCTGAAACTTATGCCTAAAATCCAAACTGGTTTCTGAAAAATGTATTATCAAAAATGAACGCCATACAATGAGCAACTCTTTGCCAACGAGAATCAAGCTTCGTAGTGCCTATAATACAGAGTTCTGGGAATCCAGAAACAACAATTTTGCCATGCTTTTGGTTCCAGACATTTCTCGCTCGCATGGTGCTTTTGAGGCACTTTCCAAAGTGAGGTAGAGGTCTGGGTAGTACAGTTCCGCTCCCGATGGATCGATGAGGCTCAAGGTGTTACGTTCACCGAAGAAGACCCCTCTTCCTCAAACCATTGGCAGGGGGTGTTCCCTGGATTGTGGTGCACATCGTCGACTTGCTGGCACAACAATCCAGATGCGGAATGGAGCCATTGAACTGCTACAGCCTTCCTTTTGTCGTCTCCGGCTTTGGATGATGTAGTAGAGCTTCTTCTCGGTCCACTCACGAGGCGAACCGTCTTTTGTCAGCATGGACTACATTTGTCTTGGCAAGACAGTCCTTCCAAGCAGGAAAAAATTGTTTCCGTCAAGCAACGGAGGGCTGGAGCCTGCCATTTTACCGGGTTTTGGTCAGTTCATGCGGAACCCAGCTATGAAGCTTCTTGGTCAATCGCCTCAGAGGGCGACTGTTATGACAT